TTTTTTTTTATCGTTTTATTTATTTTTGAGACAGAGAGAGACAGAGCATGAACAGTGGAGGGTCGGCGAGAGGGAGACACAGAATCTGAAACAGGCTCCAGGCTCCGAGCTCTCAGCACAGAGCCCGACGCAGGGCTTGAACTCACTGACCGTGAGATCATGACCTGAGCCGAAGTCGGCCGCTTAACCGACTGAGCCACCCAGGCGCCCCTATTTTCATTTTCTTACGGTATTTTCCTGAACGTCTTGTAGAGAATGGGTCCCAATTTCTTTTTATTATATTTGTTATAAGTAGAAACTGGATTGTGTGTATGTTGCCTAGCGTAGCCTTGCCTGTTTGGTCACGTATTAAAGTAATATTTTGTACTAAATTCCTTTTCTCTATATTACTGCTAAGACTAATTATACGTTTTTTGAAATTATGTGTAGGTGGGCATATTCTCTAGGAATTTCACTTCCGGGTAGAAGAAGAACAAAGAATAAAGTTACACAAAGTGGGAACCACTGCCCTGAACAAGCCCCCAAGCACTTTGGAGGTCTGAAGGGGTCATTCTAGCGAGGACCAAAGGCCGTGGGACTGAGCAGCCAAGAAGAATGGAGAATGACACCCAACTCGCTTCTGTGCCGGTGGGGCCACTGGACCCAGCTTGACGCCACCTCTGGGACAAACTCAGGAAAAGAGGCGTCAGTCTGACCCTGTGTTTTGAGGCAATAAAATACTATTGACCTTTGGATTCTTGGGAAGAGTGGGACAGCAAAGTGGGTGCCTGAGTGGGTGAGGGGACCTGAGCTCTCTCCCAGGGTGGGGACAGCTGGGCTGGCACCCCAGGACACTCAGGGGAAGCAGTGAGGTCGAGGGGAGATCCCAGACTTTCTGCTAAGGTGGCAGGGGGGACTCTCCAGCTCGGGAAAGCACAAATCCGTTCCCACACGTCTCTAGTTGAGGAGCTCGGTCACCTCTAGCTGCAGCCCTCCCTGGCTGTGTGGTTTCTGAGGGACACAGAACTCTGCGACCGTCCTCAAATACCCAGCTAGTACACCGAGTCCTTCCTCATGGTTGGTTTAAACGGGACTCCGCTTTGAGTTATCTCGTGTCCCTTTTGATGACTAATCCCCCCAGATGTGGGGTCAAAGGAGGGGCTAGTCTCATGGCCTCAGCAAGGACCGCAGTCTATATAGTGGAATATTACTCAGCCACGAAAAGGGTGAGATCTTGCCATTTGTGCCAACGCGGATGGACCTAGAGGGTATTATGCTAACTGAAATAAGACAGAAAAAGACAAACACCGTATGGTTTCACTTATATGTGAAATCTAAAACAAAACAAATAATGAACTAAAAAAACAAACAAAAAGAACCACAGTCCAGGTTGCTGTAAGCCACTGGGATTTTCAAAAGCCTCATCTCTATTCTTCTTACACATCTTAGCAATAATGATCTTTTTTTCATTTTTAAAATGTATATTTATTCAAATGCAATATGCATATAAAATATAAAAATATATTCAAATATGATATACATATAAAAGTTAGCAAATCACATGCACATGTTAAGTTTTCGGAAAATGAACGCACCTGTTTTACCAGCTCCCAGACCAGGAAAAGAGAGTATGACCAGAATTGCCCTTGGACCCCCTCCAGTCACCACCTCACCCAAGATTTTGCCTGTTTTCGTAATTTATAGTAAAAAAAGTCTTACGGTCCGCTTCAGGGTATTTTTTTCTCTCTCCACCTGGTGAGACCCACATACTGCTGTGTGTGTGTCGGGGGGTGCTATGCAGACCTCCAGTGTGGGAGAAAGCCCTAGAAACTACACTTTTTCTAACAGCGATCTGTTGCTGTTTCACTTGCAGGGGGGAGTGTGGCCGTGGACCTTCTGAAACTGCTCAGGTAAGTGAATGACCGCATGTTTTGGGAAAGAGGAATTAGGCCGTCTTGATTCTCAAAAGGGTTTTGGATCCAGGAATGGCCGAGAAGTAGGTTGAAGATTGTTTGTTGGCGGCTTTTGTGTTTTGCGGTCATTCTGTGGCTGTGGGCTCCCAGGAGTCCCTGGCCCGTGGGGTCCCCAGCACTGTCAAGTTCCTCAGCCGCACAGGCAGAGGCAGGCCTGCTGGGTCCTCGGCAGCTCGGCCACCTCTTCTGCGCACCAGTGGCCTCCGGTGGCCTGGAGTCCAGCTCCTCGGAAACGTGAAAGCCCTTCAGCTGCGAGGCCCCAAACCCAGCCCTCGGGTCGCGGTTCAAGCCTCCCTCCAGAGGTAGGGAAGTCATTCCCCCGCCACTGGCCGCCTCCCCTTCCTCTGGTTCCCTGTCAGCACTCCCGTCGTTTGGGTTCTTTGAAATGTTCCTGGTTAGGCCACCTGCTACAGGCCCCCAGCTCTGTTTGGAGCGGGAAGCTGGGGTCTGTTTCCATCTCCCTCGTTCGCCAGCCCGTGCAGGACTTCGGCTGCGGGAACGGCGCGCCCCGAACCCCGGCCCTCCCGCTCGGAATTGCCCGGAGACGCAGGCCCCGCCAGGCGCGACCCTCGGGGTTCCCCCAGCGCCCTCCTTCCCGTTTCTGAAAACGAGACGCCAGACGAGTTGCAGGGGGAGAAAATTCTGCTTTATTTTATTTCATTATTTCTGGGGGTGGCTGCGGAGGGGCGAGGGGCGCGCTGCGCCGCTGTCCGGGCCGTCGGCTCAGCGCTGGGAGAAGGCGGCCTCGGCGTCGCAGGCGGGGTCGGCGCGGCAGCCGTCTGGAAGGACAGCGGGTCAGGGGCCGCCCTGCGCGGTCCCCTCCGGGTCCCGGGTCCTCGGCCTCTGCCCCCCCTCCGCGCCCCCGGCCCCGGCTCACCCGGGCTGCAGCAGACGCTGGCAGCGGCGCAGCGGCCCCGGGGGCCACGCCCACTGGGACTTCCGCACCGGCACCACCTGGACTCCGCCCCCGGGGCCGCGCCCACCGGGACCTCCGCACCGCCCCCACCTGGACCCCGGCCCCGCCTCCCCCGCCCCCGGGCCGCCCCGGCAGCGCACCGTCGTTGCAGCAGATGCCCGCGGCGGCGCAGCGGCCCCCGCTTCCGCACGGCTTGTGGCCCGACTGGCAGGGCGACGGCAGGTAGTTCTCCTCCTGGCAGCGCAGCGCCTCGGCCGTGCCCACGAAGCAGCCCAGCTCGTCGCCGCAGCAGATGCTGGGCCCGAAGCAGCGCCCTTTGCC